TTCAAAGAGAGAAGTTTTTTTTTATTATTTGTTGAAGGATAGTTTTACATTCACTTTTCTTAATTTCACTTGATTTGGTTTTATCATTCAAATGGCTAGAATACATGGGGTATTTATAGTAAACTCCTACATGCATCAAGTCTACTTCTTATGTGGACATACTAATTATGTTCACATAAGTTCACATATTACATAAATAAGTTCACACCCTAGTACATGTATGTAGCTACTAATCTAGTTCATGAACTAATGTGAACTAGTGTAGACTAATGTGAACTAGTGTGGACTAATGTAGACAAGTTTGAACATATATGAACAAGTTTAGACGAATTTGGACATATGCGAACTAATGTGGACAAATGGGGACAAGACAATACATTAATTTTAACAGATTGATTAAAACAAATTCCACCACTAAATTAGCAAGGTATTTGGCAACATATATGGAAATTTTAGTTACAGTATATTTTATTTGCTAATTGTACATCATGAGTTCAATTCAGAGCTCTGATATGCATTCGACTAAATTTCTCCATTTCTAGGATAGGATCTTGTAATGCATCAATGCAGAAGTTCCATCAAAGCCTTTACTACGGAAGAAGTCTGTATATTCCTTCACTGTGGTTGCACGATACTTTGGCGGATTACATTCTGATAACAATTCCTTAATTGGTCCATAAATCTTGGAAGACGGAAATGCACCTGTGCTGAAGAAGCTTGGGACTGATATTCTTGGACCTACTTGATTTGACAATACTCTATGCTCAACACTTATATACTTGTCATTTGATATGAGCTGAAAAAACATCAAAAGTTAAGCACATTTTGTCTCAATACCAAGACAATGTATTATGATTAAGTCACTCTAATTAAGAAGTTAACTCGTTTCTTCTAAAAGCTTAAGTATTACAGTCAGATTTCTCTATAACGGCTATATAACAACCGTTCACTATAAAAGCCAAGTTTCTTTTGAAACCAATTTTCATACTATGTTATAATATATGTTCTCTATAACAGCACTTCGCTATAACAACCAAAAAAAAATGGAACAAACGAGGCTGTTATATAGAGGTTTGACTGTATTAGCAAAAAACTTCTAACCTGCAGCATATCGCCAATATTCACCACTAGAGCACCGGACGTAGGAGGAACATCAATCCACTGATTTTGGTGAAGAACTTGTAGACCTCCTATATCATCTTGCAGAAGAACTGTCATAAAAACACAGTCTGAATGCTTTCTGGTGCCTATAGTGAGTTCCGGCTGAGGACATGCCGGATAGTAATGGTGGCCAATAGATAGCCCCTCAGCAATGTTCATATCTTTAAGATGCCAAGAATTGAGACCGAGGCCCTCGGACAATAATTCGAGTAATGAGTAGCCTAATTTCATCATATGCTTAGAGAAATCCATTAAAATCTCCCTGCAAAATTTTATAAAACATAGATAAAGCTGCAGATACAAAATAGTATACTCAATTAGTTTTCAGCAACTTGCAAAGTTGTTATTTTCCATATTGTCCACCAAAATTCACATTTTAACATAAAGCAGCTGCAATGACAGCACGTCAGAAACTAATACTTTGTCATGATGTATTCTTGATTTTTGTTACACTGAACATCAGGGGTGGATCGAATACACCTTCTATAGGTTCAGCTAACTCAGTAATTTTTGTTCATACCCTATATACGTGTTAATAAATCTACTACTAAATAAGTACAAATAATAGAGTTGGAACCTATTAAATCAAATGGACTGCGATAAATCCCGAACTTGAACCCGTAAAGTTTAAATTCTGGATCTGCCTAGAGCTCTCTACCGAACATAACTAGATACTAAAAAGTAAGCAAATTTGGTTGGTCTTTTGTGAAAGAATATTTTCTTTTTGATTCATGTTAGAGCATACCTGCAAGCTGTTGGCAATTCTTCTGGACTAGGAGGATTAGGAGCCATAACACAATAAAGTGAGTCTCTCCAGCTTGCTGCTGGAACAGATTTGCTGTACAAATCAAAATTGCTAACATGTGCCACTTTTTTTGTATTATCTCGAGTATAATATCGTTTCTTAATCTCGATATCTTGCTCGAAAAATCGCCGAGCTCCTTGTAACATTTCTTCAAGGACAGGTAATGGAATGCCATGATTGACCACTTGAAAAAATCCCCATGTCTCTGATGCATCTCGAACTTTATCCACAATCTCTTTATGCTTGATTGGATCCTTATCAAAGCCTTCAAGATCTATTACTGGAAAAATGAACTTTTTCTCAGTGGAGTTTGAGGAGTTGTGTATGCTTTCTTGTGGATGAATGAACATCCAGGGTACTTTAGTAATTCCAGCATCAACAACCCCTTTAACACCAGCTTTTGTGTCATCAAATGCCTTTAATTCACTCTGTCTATCATAATTTTGTTGAAATGTAGCCTGAACTTCTTCACCACTGGAGAAAACCATCTTTGTTTCTTGTTTTTTCGTGTTTTTAATGAAACTGTAAATACAGGTTACCTTGAAATTGTATGCAGGTAAGATTTATAGATGCAGCAAATATTTGAATGTCACAATCACTCCATAGAAGATAAGGGCAGTTCGGTGCACTAAGCTCCCGATTTGCGCGTGATCCTGGGGTGGAGGGGAAGGGGCGGGGAAGCACAGGAGTCTATTATACGCAGCCTTACCCTACATTTCTGCGAGAGATTGTGGAAAAAGTTCCCACTCTTGGAACACCAGAAGTAAGCTAAGTAAACTTTAAAAATATAAGAATTTACATTTTATAAATAAAAAAGAAAAAGGAACCACTATCTCCAAGACCACACAAAGTTGGATGGGAGAAAGGTAATAAAGATGCCAGCTTTCACTAGGACCACCTTTGGTCACTTTCAGAAATTGAATTGAATAAAAGTGCAGTGACTTAATGGGATTATACTTTGAGCTATAATTTGAGGCCCTATTATTTAAAAATTAATGGAGCATATAAAATATATCATAATCAAAATCAGGTAGGAGTGAGCAAGAACGGAAATAGTTGGTAGAATTTTTTTTTTTTTCTTTCCACCCAAATTAGGAGGATCTATAGTTTCCACACTTCCCTCCAGCGTGACTCGAATCCAGGACCTAACAGTCGTGGATGGAGGTGCTTTAACAACTGAGCATGTATATCTGTTATTCACATATAAAGAGATATGAAGATATCAGGTTTTGCCTTCTGATAACTGCAGAAGTCATTCCAGCATTTACTACAAAACGTCACTACTACCTATAATATTAATATTAATATCCCATCTTTTCTACTTATAGTTCACATATAGGCTATTTCCTCAATAGTCAAATCAAAAAATATTCAATATAATCTGTTATGTGGAGTTTGGTTGATGGTATTAAATAAAACATGCATTAAATTATGCAACAATCATGCGTACTATTTTATGTGAGAAAATATGTGTACTACAAATACAAGGAAAAAAAAAGTATATAAAGATATATGCCGTATAAATAAGTAATCTCTGCATACCTTTTATCATTATTATTTACTGCATAACAATTTTATTTTGCAAGACAATCATTTTTTATTATCCATGGTAAAGATCATTCTTGCATTACAATCGCGCTAGCTAAGCTTGTAATTACTGTAGCTCCCCAAAGGGCCCCTAAGTTTTCAACTCCATAACCAAGTTTAGATTGTGAGATGAGACAGATTGGAAGTTCCATCAAGCCCTTTCTGCTTGAAATAATCAAAGAATTCCTTCAATGTAGTTGCGCGATACTTTGGAGGATTGTCTTCTGATAACAGCTCCTCAATTGGTCCATACAGTCTGGAAGATGGCAATGGCCCTGAGCTGAAGAAGCTTGCTATAGATATTCTTGGACCAACTTTCTTTGACAATGCTCTATGCTCTACACTTTTGTACTTGTCATTTGTTATGAGCTGAAAATTCAAAGTTAAACAAAATTTTAAGTTGATTATGATCCATTAAAATTGATTAAAGAGACTTTTATGGAAAACTAAAGGTTAAGAAGCAGAGAGGAAGATTATTTAGGGTGGCATCGGCGTGTTCAACTGATCCCATTGTTTTCAACTAGTACTTGCATTGCAGTCCGTCCATTAGTTCGATGATAATACAGCTACTACTGCAACACAGCTACTGGAAAAAGATTCAATACTATAATCTCGTTATTGCGAAGCATGGTTTGGAAAGGTCAGCTAAAAGACGGTATATATCAACATTCAAACCCATTCCTTTGGAGCTGGCCCCGGTGCTTAACATCAGGTTCCCTTGTACACATGCAATAAGATCGCACTTATACTGAACGTAAAGACTCTAGATCCTGAATTCGCCTATGTTAAGAAGTAAGAGGTTGAAAGACTTGCCTGGAGAACGTCGCCAATATTGATCACTAAAGCTCCAGGTGTAGGAGGAACATCAACCCACTGATTCTGGTGAAGAACTTGGAGGCCTCCGATATCGTCTTGCAAAAGGATTGTGAAGAAGTCATTGTCTGTATGTTTGCTGACGCCTATAGCTAGTTCTGGCTGTGGACATGCTGGGTAGTAATTGCACAAAATGCTAAGACCCTCTGAACATTCCATTTCTTTGAGATGGCTTGGTTTTAGACCAAGAGACTCTGACATTAACTCAAGCAAAGTGCACCCCATTTTCTTCACATGATGTGAGTACTCCATTAGTATTTCCCTTCAAAAATGCAAGTAAAAGTTAATAACATTTAGATGTTGAAAGTAGATGACAATTTTTAAGCATTCACTTAACACCAAAAGATGAATGCATCATTTCTAATTAGGATCACTATATGATGTTCATGACGTAAGGGAAGTCTTGATGTAACTGGTAAAGTTGCTGTCATGTGATAACGAGGTCACTGATTCGAGCCGTAGAAACAGGCTTTTGAAGAAATGCAGGGTAAGGCTGCGTACAATAGACTCTTATGCGCCGAGCTGTCCTAATATGATGTTCATGACAGCATTTGACTGGACACAAAGTTGAAGATAGTGATAGTGAATGAAAAATACTAAAGCATTGATAGAAAAAATAGGTGGATATAAAAAACAACATATCAGAGTTAAAGTTAGATAGTGTAATGAATTGGAGTTTCCGAAGGTTGTGAAATTAGTTCAGATATGGAATGGTGTCAAACATTTTGAAACGTCCCAAAATAAAAAATAAAAAATAAAAAAAGCCTCATATAAATTGGACCGATTGAGTAGTTTTCAAGAAAGAGTTTAAGCTTTATATAGGGGAGAAATTCAAAAATAGCCAGATTTACCACTGGTCGTTGAAAAATAGCCAAGTTTCAAAAGTCATCGAAATTTAGCCACTTTAAATCTGAGCGAAAACACTGTTCAAAATCCGAAAAAATACGCCCGCAAATTTTACGGGAGTTCCAGCATAAGTATGCTTGAACTCCCGTAAATTTTACGGGAGTTCCAGAATAACTATGCTGGAACTCCCGCAAATTTTACGGGAGTTCCAGCAAGTATAATTGTCCAGTATAATATACTGGAGTTTGGAGCACTGGTGCTCCAGTCTCCCGCAAATTTTACAGGAGTTAGCAAAGTATACCGGTCCAGCATAATATGCTGGAGTTCGTACACAAATGCACCAGAACTCCCGTATATTATACTGGACCGGTCCCTGTTGCAGCAAAATAGTGGCTATTTTTCATTGACTTGATAAACGCTGGCTATTTTTCATTGACCAGTGTGAAA